GAAGAAAGAAAGAAAGAAAGAAAGAAAGAAAGAAAGAAAGAAAGAAGAAGAAGAAGAAAGAAAGAAAGAAAGAAAGAAAGAAAGAAAGAAAGGTTGGGCCATCCATCCCAATAGAAGTTGAAGATCAGGTACACAGAATTTCTGAAACACTGAATTCCTCCAAAGTTCTGTCTTGAATGGTAATAGATTGGTCTGTAACCATAAACATTAGCCTTATGTACATCAAGAAATGAAGTCAGCATAATTACGTCGCTCAGGGCTGTGAAAATCCACACCCCTGAGGGACACAGTTAAACTGACCTGGTGTAGATAATGCTAGGTGGACAGGAGAATTCCCTCATTGAGCTAGCTACTGCATCTCAGGCATGTGGATTACCTACACCAAGGGGAGAACCCCTCCCTTCGGTGTAGGTACTATCTTCACTGAAGCCCTATAAAAGTGCAACTGGAGCAGCATATTATGTGTAGACAAGCCCTTACACTCTTGTAATAATTCCCACGGGTCAAAAAGCTAGGAAAGTGCAGACTGCCTAAGAACTTTTGTCTTCTCTTGAGTTTAAATTGAAAGACAAAGAATTTGAGACCATGTAGAGGACAAGATCCGTAGTTGGTGTAAATCAAAAGACCATGTCCTCATTTTGTTTTTTTAGCCCTACCTACTGTGAAATCAATGGAACTGTAGCAGTTGACATGAGTTCATCTCATGACCCTTAGTTTTCAGTCTTTGTCTCTGGGTACCTCTCAGTGACTAACTTTAAGCAGCCGGGTCAGCCTGAGCTGTGGGTTCCTCTGGTGGCTGCATCCCAAGAGCTGCTGATGCAATGCAGGAGAAAAACATCTTTGCTCCCCAGAGGTAATTGTGTGGAGTTAATGAAGGAACAGGCTATCCCAGGTCAGCTGAGCTTCTGGTGCCACTACGGTCTGAGCTATTGTAGGTCACATGTCTGTGCTATACATATATGTTTGATTTGGTAGATATTTTGAGACACCCTTTCTGCTCAGCCCTGCCTTGTTATTAGCCAAGGATCCATCTAGGGAAGCTGCCATCATGTGTGATACATGGCAGGTGCTGTTCCCCCTCCATGAGGATAGGCTTATCTAGGGCAGGTTGTTGGGGTGGTTTGCTTTAGAGGTGAGATCAGTGCTGGGCTCACAGCCCTGGAGATCCATTTAAGCTATTTAGCTCCAGGGCTGGTGTATAGCCGCTTGTAACTGTATCTGAAGCCAGCATATGCCAAGATCAGCTCTAGAGGAGCGAGGGGCTGATCCCATTTTCTCCTTCACCTGTCATCCAAGCCTGTCCTAGGAGGGGAGCAGGGAGCACCCATCTGTGGAGTGGATTCTTCTCTGCTAGGAATTGCAGAGAGACTCAGCAACTGAGGAAATCCGACAGTGTCATGGGCTGCTGGATACTACAATGATGGGTCTAGGAGAGATTAAAAGATGGATTTGTGTTCATTTGGATAGACAAATGGATAGATAATGACCAATGTTTCTCAGCACTGGGGGATCAAATCATTGCAAGCTGGGGAAAAATCCAGAAATACCATCACAGTAAGTTTGCTCTTTCAATTAACTGTTAGTGTCTTAAAATAGAATGCAGATTTAAGAACAGAAATATAAGTTGCAACTGAAACTTCTTAAGACATTTGCTTTCAATTCAGGCAAACGTAGAGCTAGTCAGAGTTTTATTCAGTAGAGGATATTAACTTCTTATAAAAATCCCCAAAATCCCCAAATTTGGGGTTTTGGCAACAAAGAAAACAGAGAACTAAATATTTTCTGCTGAAAACTGAAAATTCTCATCCAAAATCCCCTCTACACCAAATTAAAAAAAGATTTCAGTTTCTGGATAGCTAGATTAAAATTTCCAGAAACGTTTGTTTAACAGAAAACTGAAGTTACCTTTTTAAAAGCAGTTTAAGCAGAACTTTTCTGAACATCCCCAGCTGGAAATATAGCTCTCTGGCAGGGTGGGGATGTTCAATGATACCATAATTTCAAACACTCATTTTTATATCTTTTTGCAAGACACAGCTGCAGGATGGGGAAACTGAGAAAACAGCAGAGATAATAACCCCTGGAATATGTTTTATACTTACTAGCACCTTGACATTCAGGTTCAGAGTGGAACTAAGCAGTCACAGCCTATCTATCTAGACTCTGACCAAGAACATTAAAGTACGTCTACAATGCAGCTGGGAGTGTATTTCCCAGCCTAGGTACGCAGACATGCACTAGCTCTGCTTAAAGAAGCGGACTAACACTAGCAGAGTAGCTGGGGGTAGCAATAGAGGTGGCTTGGGCTAGGCACTTGTGTATAAACCTACCCAAACTCTGTGGGCACATACACAGCAGTACAGCCTGAGCTGATGCCCATGCTACCTCCTGCTACACGGGCATGTTTAGTGCACTAACACCAGCAGAGATAGAGCAAGTTTGTGTACTGGAGCTTGGAAGAATGCTCCCAGTTGTATGCAGATGGACCCACAAGACAGGACAAGTATGCAGTCCTCCTGGACTATCACCATATCCAGTGTGCAACACTGCTGCCCATTGAGCACAAAGACTGTAAAGTGTTGGTAGCACTTACCATACACATGGTAAGTCCCAGCCCATCCTGCACACAGCTCACAAGGCAAAGAAAGGGAGGGAGGTGAAACAGAGAGGGGAAGTGTCTGGCCCGATGTCACACAGCAGGTCTATGGCTGAGCCAAGGACAGAACACAGCCAAATGGCCACTGACCCACTCGGCACAGATAGCAAGTTACATAGGGAAATGATACAACATAGAAGGGCAGATGGCTGCTACTAGTCCATTATTAGCCAGAGATGGTATTGGTGCCATAAAACATTTTGTAACCAGGTTGCAGGTCATCCATATACAGAGCTTGGGAAGGAATCATTAAGGCAAGCTGGCATGTATGACACTGGGTGAGGCCGTTGTATTTCTCTGAACATGGGAATCAGGCTGTGTTGATGTTCTAGCATTTTTGTGTCATGCTCAGATTTTAAGAATCTGACATGTTTATTGTCAGAACTGAGGGACCGTCTTTGCTGGGTCTGTTGGGTCTGAGCTGTAACATTTTCCTCTTTTTAATGCATTTGGTCAAGGCACACATCGAGCCATATCCTCAGATGATGTAAACTGATGCAGCCCTATTATATTTAAGGGGCTAGGCCAATTTACACTAGTTTGATAACACACCTGACTAGCCCGATGGAAGTGACAAGAGCTGAGAGCCTTTGACATTCACATCATGAGATACCCTGGAGGGAATCAGGTTTCTTCCCTCCGTCACTCTAATGCTGACTGTTACCCTTCTCCATTCCTCCACGGGCAGGACACGATGTCCAATCAAACCGCTATTACTGAGTTCCTTCTCCTGGGATTCTCGGATGTTTGGGAGATGTATATTTTACACTTTGTGCTGTTTCTAGTGATTTACCTGGCAACCCTGATGTGGAACTTTCTCATCATCATCACAGCCGTAACCCTAGACCACCATTTTCACACCCCCATGTACTTCTTCCTGATGAATCTGTCCATCCTAGACCTCAGCTCCATCTCTGTCACCATCCCCAAATCCATGATCAATTCCCTCATGAACACCAGGTTGATTTCTTATTCTGGATGTGTTGCCCAAGTCTTTCTCTTCATGTTCTTTGGTTTAGCTGATGTTGCCTTACTCACCGTCATGGTGTACTATCAATATGTCGCCATCTGTCAGCCACTGCACTATGATACTATAATGAACATGAGAGCTTGTGTCCAAATGGCAGCCAGTGCTTGGATCAGTGGTCTTCTCAATTCTGCAATGCTGACTGGGAACACGTTTGCAATATCCTTCTGTAAAGGCAACATGGTGGATCAGTTCTTCTGTGAAATCCCCCAGATACTAAAGCTCTCCTGTTCTGACTCATACCTCAGTGAAACTGTGACTATTGCCTTAAGTTCATGCTTAGTCTTTAGCTGCTTTGTTTTGATAATTATGTCATATGTTCAAATCTTCAAAATGGTACTGAGAATCCCCTCTGAGCAGGGCCGCCATAGAGCCTTCTCCACCTGCCTTCCCCACCTCATTGTGGTCTCCTTGTTTATTTTCCCTGGCACCATTGCCTACCTGAAATCCACCTCCAGCTCAGCATCAATTCTGGATCTCGTGGTGGCTGTTATCTACACCCTGGTGCCCCCAGTGATGAATCCAATCATCTATAGCATGAGGAACAAGGAGATCAAAGCTACCCTGTGGAAAATAATGGGATTGAGGCTAATCTCGAAAAATAAAATGCCTACCTTTCCTCTTTGATTTTGTGTTTCCATGAGAATGTGCTTTGCAGTATCCCTATAGTCGTGCCTGACTAACCTAATTGCCTTCTATTATGAGATAACTGGCTCTGTGGATGAGGGGAAAGCAGTGGATGTGTTATTCCTTGACTTTAGCAAAGCTTTTGATACGGTCTCCCACAGTATCCTTGCTGCCAAGTTAAAGAAGTATGGGATGGATGAATGGACTGTAAGGTGGATAGAAAGCTGGCTAGATCGTCGGGCTCAGCGGGTAGTGATCAATGGCTCCATGTCTAGTTGGCAGCCGGTTTCAAGCGGAGTGCCCCAAGGGTCGGTCCTGGGGCCGGTTTTGTTTAATATCTTTATTAATGATCTGGAGGATGGTGTGGACTGCACTCTCAGCAAGTTTGCAGATGACACTAAACTAGGAGGCGTGGTAGATACATTAGAGGGTAGGGATCGGATACAGAGGGACCTAGACAAATTAGAGGATTGGGCCGAAGAAAAACTGATGAGGTTCAACAAGGACAAGTGCAGAGTCCTGCACTTAGGACGGAAGAATCCCATGCACTGCTACAGACTAGGGACCGAATGGCTAGGTAGCAGTTCTGCAGAAAAGGACCTAGGGGTCACAGTGGACGAGAAGCTGGATATGAGTACAACAGTGTGCTCTTGTTGCCAAGAAGACTAACGGCATTTTGGGCTGTATAAGTAGGGGCATTGCCAGCAGGATCGAGGGAACGTGATCGTTCCCCTTTATTCGACATTGGTGAGGCCTCATCTGTGATACTGTGTCCAGTTTTGTGCCCCACTCTCCAAGCCGGATGTGGAAAAATTGGAAAGAGTCCAGCGGAGGGCAACAAAAATGATTAGGGGTCTGGCGCACATGCCT